CCCCGCCATGGCTGCCGCCCCCGCCTCCTCGGGGGGCCGGGGAAAGGCCGGGCCTGGGTGAGTGAGCCGGCGGGGGAGGGGGGGGACGGGGACTCAGGGGGCGCCGTGGCCCGACTCCTCCGCCGCCGCCTGCCCGCCCGACCTTGCAGGGTTGTTGTGAAGAGGGGAGGGGAGGGCTCCCGAAGCGTCCTCCCCCCTCCGTTCAGGGAGGGCAGGCAGGCAGGCAGGCAGGCAGGCAGGCAGGGGAGGCCACCGGAGGCAAAGGAAGGCACGTCCGTCAAGAGAGGGGGGAGAGGGACCCCCCTTTGGGAAGGGGGGGGCAGCACCCTGGGACTCCCCCCTCCCTCCCTCCCTGACCCTGGTGCCGCTGGGAGGAAGCAGGCCCCTTCTCTGTCGGTGGGGAATGGAAACCACCCCTGTTGCCAGCAGCGCCCCCAATTCCTAGGGAAGTGGCAAAGACCGCGAGGGGGGGCTCCCTGAAGGAGATCTCAGGCCCCCACCACCACAAGGAATTCTCCCAGATCCCCCCACACACACACACACACTCTCTCTCTCTCTCTCTCTCTCTCTCTCTCTCTCTCTCTGCAGCCCAGGGAGGGGACTTCTTTGTGTGTGTGTGGGGGGGGGGGCGCTTGCCAATCCCTGCTCTTGGCCAGCTTTGGAAGGGGCCCTGCTGAGGCCACCCCTTGCCCTGCTCTTCCACTCTGCTCGGAGTATCTCCCCCCCCCCACGGCCAGGGCCTGGGCTGGGCTGGGCAGGGCTGGGCTGGGCTGGCAGGCACCCACCTGGGCTCTTCCTTTGTGCCCCTTCCAGGGAGCTCAGCCCCCCGGCCCTGACGCCGGACGACCAGGAGACCCTCCACTACCTGTGGGAAAGGATGTTCGAGGAAGCCGATGAGACCGGCCGGCTCGTGGTCATCAAGTAAGGCCTGCTCCCGGGGGAGGGGGGGGGGGGCCTCTTCTTCTTCTTCTTCTTCTTCGGCCTGCTCCCCCAGGGGCTGCTGTTGCCAGAGGGAGAGGCCACGTTTGGTCACCCAGGAAGGGGCGGACAAGTGGCCAGAGGAACCGGGCAAGGGCCACACGCCCACCCCTGGGCCTTTGCGCCGCCACCCTCCTCGGGGGTGAGACCTCCACGCCCGGCCGGCCTTCCCCACCTTCAACCTTCGGTGGTCCTCTCTCCTGGGACAGCTCCGGTCACAATGAAACCCCCCCCCCCCCGGCTCCCTTCTCTTGCCCTTGACCCCGGGGAGGGGGGTGCGTGCGTGCAGGACATGCGGAGAGAGTCCTTGTGCAGCCAAGCCGGGCTCCTACTCTTGAGGAAGCCCAACTGCCGGAAATAGAGGAGTGACGAACAGAAGTGGGGGATGTCCGTAACAGAACTACGGCTTGCCCAAGGTCATCCAGCCAGGTGCAAGTGCAGGAGTGGGGAATCAAACCCAGTTCTCCCAGATTAGAGTCTGCACACTTAACCAGGACACCAAACTGGCAAAAGGACCGGGCAGGAGGTGATGGGAGGGACCTCTGCCTTTGGCCCAGGAGAGCCACTGCCCATCACAGTAGGAGAGACGGACCTTGAGTAGAAGGCAGCTGCTACGTGTCTGTGGGGGAGGGGAGGTTTGGCTTCCCTGCTTCTGCTTCCATCTTTGTAATGGGGGGGCGGGGAAGGGGAAGGCAGAACCTTCGTCCGCTGGGACATGGGGCTACTGGCGGGCTCTGTCTGTCAAGGGAAAGCTTTCCCTGCCCAGCGGCCTGGAGCTCCACATCCAAGCCTGTGCCCAGTCACCTTCCCCAGGCGCCCCCCTCCTCCGTGGGCTGCGTGGGCTGCTCCCCACCACCACCACACTAATGCGTGTCTGGCTTTCTCAGCGGGCAGTCTCTTCTCCACACAGGTGTTTGGTGATAGTGAGATATTGAAAAAAATGGTATTTAGCAGAGATAAGATAGTCCAGCAGAGCCAGAGTAAAATAATTCAGACTGAGACTCCATGTGTGATTAAAATATAAAGTGTTTACTAAATTCTAGGATGGGAAGGGTAACTGGGATGAAAATAACAACAGAGCATAGTCGGCTACATCCTTACTCTACAAAGACAAAATTAGAAGAGAGAGATTGTGGCTACTCTTCTTCTTCTTCAGAACACCAAACAAAGACGGGAAGAGAGCCATAAAATAGTAACACACCTTGACACTTTAGTCCCAATCAAATCCCTAGATCAGGGAGAAAATTCCCGGGCTTTCTACATCTAAAGAACATTGGTTACCTGAGAAACATGTGACTTCCTGTGAGTCCCATAAACAAACATTTAACCCCAGATATACTGAGTGTTTTCAACTTGTAATACCCAACAACAGGTTCTTCACAGATTACCCCGAGACAAAGCAGTACTTCAAAACCATCCCCACGGAGGGGGGGCTCCACAACAACTCCCTGGTGGCCTTCCACGGCCGGAGAGTCATGGTGGCCGTGAACCAAGTCTTCGAGAACCTGGACAACTGGAAGCAGACCTGCAAGCTGCTGGAGTGCCTGGTGGACTCGCACAAGAACGTCCACCGAGTGCCGGTGGTCCTGTTCCAGGTACTGGTGCCCAGCAGGAGACCGGAGGGGGGGGGAATCCTGCACTGACTTTGGAGGAGGGAGGCCCACTGGCCGGTAGCAGGCCACTCCAGGAGGGGGGGGTTCTTGCAAGGAAAGGGAGTCTGGGGGGGGGCCCTGTCTGAATCCCCTGCAGCGCCCTCTGCCTCAAGTGCAGCCACAGTTGTCAAAAAGGGGAGCCGGCCTGGCAGGCAGAGGAGAAGGGGGGTGGGGGTGGCGGCGGCTGGGCCAGTCTCTCCTTCTTCGGCACGGGTGCCACCTTCCCAGACCCTCAGACCTTGACGGGCTGCCATAGGTCCCGGAAGGGTGTGCCAAGCAGTCCCTGGGCATCTTCTTCCTGGCACAGGCAATGTTCCGGTCTCTGCTGAGCGTCTGCCAAGACCTCCTGGGGAACGAGTTCACCGATGAGATGCTAGTCTCCTGGGAGAAGCTCTTTAGAGCCCTCTACGAAGAAATCGTGGCCGCCTACGCTCGGAACCACCTTGGTTAGGACCAGACCGCCCAGCAGTTCCCCCCACCCTGCGTTCGTATATCTGGGCCACAATGACAGGGGCAGTGGGGCGAAAGCGCCAGGGTTCCTTTGGATTCTCCCCGCAGGCAGGGGACTCTGCGTTCACCTGGGGACGGAAGCCGGAAGCCCTTCCGGGCAAGACCTGTGCAGAAGTCGCGCCCCCGCCCCTGTCTCCTCTACCAGAGGGGCCCTCTGGATCCAAGCCGGGGAGGAGGGCTGAGGAGAGGCAGGAAGGGCCAGGAGTTCCGGGGGAGGGTTAGGACATGGAGCTGCGGGAGCCTCTTCGTGGCTCCCAGTGTGGCCGGTCCAGCCACTGGCCGGAGTCCCGGTCCTGGTTTTTCTGGGAGGGACTCTAAAGCAGTGTGCCAGCCCCACCTGGTGGACGGGCGATGGTGTGGCTGCCCTCCGGGATTACCCTTGGCAGTTTTTGGCGTCCTTCCCCGTCTGGCAATGGGGGGGGGGGACGGGGTGTGTGTCTTCTTTCTGTGCGTACCCCCCGCCCCCCCCCCCCCCCCCCCCGGGCTTCCGTTTACACCCAGCCTTTCAAACCCCCTTTTTTTTTTAAAATCAATGCACATTTGCAAAACGTAATGAGAATCATTCAACTGTCTTAGAAGTATTAAAACTGGAACCGTGGTCTAAAGTATCAATAAAGTAGTTGCAGAACAAACATGGCGCCGTGTCATTCATGACAGTCGGTCCCTGGCCAGGTTGCCCGGAGAAGGAACAGCAATGCTGTGGTGCCCCCACCAAAAAGGCACCTGCCTCCCCTCTGAAACGGAGCAGAGGCCTGCAGAGGTCTACAACGATCCAGCAGCCCTGTAGCTCCGGATTTTTTGGTAGGGGGCCTCGGCTAATTAAAGTTACTTAGTGGAGCTCCATAGAAGCCCCTCCCCTAGGCTGCGAGGTCTACCTGATCGGCACGCCATCTGGCAGTGGGACAAGCCAGCCGGCCGGCCCCGATTCCTCCAACGCGTTGCCCCTACTTCCAGAGTCTGGCTCACGCTTCCTCTTCCTCCCACTCTTTCACCTCCTTGGCCTTCCCCCTGCCCAGTTTCGGGGCCACCTGCAGCTTCTGCGCCCACCCCGAGCAGGAGCCTTTCACTTTCACTCCGATTGGCACGGCAGCCAGCCCAGGCCCCATATGCGCGGTGCTCGTCCCTCCCGCAGTGTGAGGGTCATCCCAAGCCGGGCCAGAGGAAGGAAGAAGCGGCGAACACGAGCAAATGTGCAGCATACTGCATCCCCGACTTACGGGAAGGGGGCTACGCAGATGTGACAGTGTGCTGACAGCACAGCTCTGTGCCGCTGACGTATCTGCGAGTCCCAGTTCCCCCCCCCCCCACTCTGCCAGCAACTGTTGAGGGCAGGAGGAAGCGATGCTTGCGGGACCACGGAGAGGCCGGGGGTTCCCTTTCTTCCTTGCTGGGGGGGGGGTGCATTGGCTGTGCATCCCCAGGGAGGAGGAGGGGAGGCTCCCTTGTGGTGTTTGGGGGGGGGGACTTGTGAGCAGTGCTCCCTCTAAGCTGTGGAGTCCTGTGAGCAAAACCTCTACTTGGTGAGCTGCTGGCATTAAAGTTGTGAGCAGGCGATTTGGCCGCTGCATAAATCAGTTTGCTGTGGAGCCACATCCTTCCTGAGCTAGGACAAAAATGTGTGAGCCGGAGGCTAAAACCTGTGAGCTGGCTCACACTAAGTCAGCTTGGAGGGAACACTGTTTGTGAGGGTCCCAAGTAGAGCCGTGATGGGGGCCTGCTCTCTCCCTTGGCTGGTTGCGCACCTGCCTCCCAGGGTGTACAAAGGGCTCCTTCTTGAAAGTAACACACACACACTTCATTGTTTCTTGGGGGGGGGGAATGGGTGCACCTGCTCAAGGTGGCTCACAAGGAAAACGCTGCCCCCACACACACAGACAACTGCAGCCGCTGAGTTAGTTTGACGGTTGTACGAGAGTGCTGGCTTTTTGCTGTGACTACATTTGTACAACTGCAGCACCATCCAGGCCGCTTTGCAAGGTGACCTCTGCAGCCCTGTCTCCTGCCCCTGCCCTCCCCAGGCTCCACCCCCAAATCTCCAGGAGTTTCCCAAACTGGATCTGGGAACCCCTCCACCACCACCACCACCACCCCCCTGCGGCCAGGGAGGACCTGGCAAACCAACCGACCCTGGCACTGGTGTGGCTGAGCGAGTGTTGTTGGCATGTCTCCTGCTTGCCCCACAGCCTGGAGCCGCGAAGCAGGAGGGGGGGCGCAGGAGGGGCCCAGCGGGGGGCAGTTCTCTTTGGGGGTCATGGAAGGGAGGAGCCAGCGCCCAGCCCTCATGGGCCTTTCCCACACGCCCAGGGCAATGCCCATCATCCCTTTGGGGTCTGGAGGAAGGGATTTCCCTCCCGGCCAGATTGGCCCCGGGGGTCCTGGAGGGGTTTTGCCATCCTCTGGGCACAGAGCAGAGGTCACGGGGGGGGCAGGCGGGCGTTGCTGTGAACCCCCCTAGATGACCCTGGGCATCCCTTCCCCCGCCCCTGTTTCTGTGTCTCTCTCTGGCTGAGAGGAGGACCAGAAGAAAGGGTGGCGTCCTCCTCACCCATGCCCCCCCGTGCCCTTCCTTCCCTTCGCAGGGCAGCCCATGTCCCCTCAGGGGGCACAAATCATCAGAGAGAGGAACCCACCAGTTTGTCAGCAATGAAGAGGGAGGGGTGCCCCCCCCAGCACATCTGGCACCCTCCCCCCCCCCGTGTGCACTCTGTGGGTCTTACGGGGGCCTGGCTGGACTGGCACGTTGCTCTGCCCGCCCCCAGCTACACTGCGGTGGTCGGGAGAGGTGGGGAGGAGAAACTGGCGGCCAGGAGCTGGGAAGCGGCCAAGGGGGGACGTCTCTCCGCCTCCCTCCCCTCAGCTGGGGCTGAGCCCTGGGATGGGGGGGGGTGTGTGTAGCACGCCAGGCTGCCCGCGGAGGACGCTTGGAAGCCCCCCCCCTCCACCGCCCGCCCGAGAGAGAGAGAGAGAGAGAGAGAGAGAGAGACTGCCACAGGCGGCACGTTCGACGGCTACGGGTTTATTGAAGGGGGGGGAGACAGAAGGCGGGGGGCGGGGGGGGGGTGTCGGTCCGTCGGTCTCCGGCGCTGCTGCCGCTGCTGCTGCTGGGGGCCGGGTGGCTCTAGCGGTACTTGGAGGTGAGCACCTTGCCGACCAGGGTGAGGAACTTGTCGAGGGAGACGAGCACCTCGGCGGTCATCAGGCCGCGGCAGTGGACGGCGATGGTCACCAGGAGGCACTGAGCTAAGTACTGCTCGCGGGAGAGAGGGGGAGAGAGGGGGCGGCAGCCGGCGGGCGGGCGGGC